CAGAACCATAGGGATCTGCCTCTTGAGCTAACCCAGCTTTTGGGAAGGCTTCAGAGAAATGGGTGTGTGGCCGTGTCAGCAGAGAGTATCCTCTCTCTAATCTTGGGGCCCCAGCTCAAGCAGGTGCTTGGAAAATGGCAACAAGTGAGTACATTTTCCTCCAATCCAAGTTACTCAATCTTCTGACCACTCTCCTTGTCTCTGTAAGGGAGAAAGTTCTTTCTGCAAAACGCAATAACCCAACGGACTGAGGTCTGAATCCTGCCTCTTCCAAACCCTTGTCCCACAGAAACAGAACCTGAGGTGCTTACTCCTGAGTCCAGTCCTTAAGCTGGTTGAAATTTAAATACATCTTTAGCAAGACAAATGACAAACACAATTGGACTTCATATGACTGGTGGAAAAATGCCCCGATAATTAAATACAAAGGAAAAAACTCTGATCCCTGTTTTATTTCTTTTTTGATCTTTAATGTCCCTTTTACACTGCCTGGGAAAATTAAGGGAGACCCACTTATATGGGGATCATACCCTGAAATAGATATAATAGCAAGGAGAAGTCACTTTTAAAGTCTGACTGAGTGTCAGGATTATCAAACTGAAATCTGCCTAGTAGTCAATGTTAGTCAGACCAGTGATCAGTCAGCAAACACAGAGTTTTCTAAATGATTTTTAAAAAAAGTTGTTAGTTTTCTTGAAGCTGAGTCAATTCAAGATACTTTTCTAGCCACTTTGTGCTATGCAGGTGGTTTTATTCAGAAAAAGCTTGTGTACTGCTGCACTTCACTGCAGTCTGCAATGCAGGCAGTGATCAAACCTGCAATGACAGTGATCAACACCTTAAAACCCCTGGCATACTGAGGGTCACGGATAAAATTGTCAAGAATTTTTAATGAATCAAAAATGTGTATGGTATTTTGTGCTGATGAGAATTTAATTTTCAGTCCAAATGCATCTTTTTATTTGAGAATTTTTTTTTCTAAAAATGTCAGTGCTAGATTCACAGGAGTGCTGTGAGGTGACAGCCACAGACCTTGAAGCAGAGCGCTGGCCCTTCACAGAGTGGGGTTTAGTTTCAACAGCAGGAAACTGAGGCACCTCTTGGTTCTCGATCCAATCATCACCTCTCTCCCAAGAAGAGTCACCAGTCACCGGACTGCAGATTCAATCTGCACAGAGAGTAATTCAATATTTTATACAGCATAGAGTAGGAAAGACAAATTCTGCATCTGAACTTGCACTTTGATGCATGCCAGAGTGCCAGGTCAGAACCTGTGCTCTCTGCCTACTCCTACCTAAGGCTCTTTTCCCTGCTCCCCTGCTTCTCCCACCCCCTTGCCCATCACAGAGTATTCACTCCCCTCTTCCATCTGTTATCACTCTCCCTCTCTTTGTCCCCATTTTTGTATCCCTTGCTTGCAGTAATGTCTCACTCACCTGTTCCCACTCCACACAGCACAGGAGCCCTTGCTCAGACTGCAAGGAAAACACGTGCCATGAGTCTCATTTGGAGAGTGCCTCCAGTGTTGCAGAGAAACCAAGGGGCATGTGTGAGTGTGTTTGAAGGGGGAGGAGATGTACAGGGTCTCAAAGTTCCCTGTACAGGTGTGTCCCTGTAACCAGGACACACCTCAATGTAAAATGTAGGAAGTTTCCCTGGATGTGATAGAACAGATCTAGTTGGAGAGATCCTGACACTATGCTGCAGTGACTGAAATGCTCCCCCAGGCAATGGAATGCCCATCTCAAGCAAAGCAAAGGCCCTGAGCAAATCAGATCCCAGTCTGTGCCTGCTTCCTCTGGTCACCAGGAGCCAGAGCCACATTCAGGTGGCCCCCAAGGTTGGTGCAGATTTGCCCTAGAGGAAGATCTCTGCACTAAACTGAGGGGCTTTCTAACATCACATTAAAAAATAAAAAAATCTAAAATACTACCAAAGTAGTGTAAAATGTCTCACACAAAAGTCATGTCCCCATCTCCTAGGAGAATACAGGCAAAGTGCAGATTCTTACCAAGAAAGGCAGGAACCCAAATAGTCAAAGACTGCTTGAGACAGCTCTTGGGAGGACTCGCAAGATGAATTCATGACCTTACTGAGTCATTCATGACCCTACTGAGCTCAGTAAGAAGCCGACTATGGACTTACAGAGAGCTAGAATTTCACCTAAAAGAAACTGATCTATAAAAATTCACATCATTGCTCATAATAATTTTGAAAGATGTCATTAGTCTTTAGAGGGATGCTTTGTTTATCTACTTGCTTTCTGAGGAAATTTTAACATGGTGAAATGAGTCCTTTCAAATTACCTTGTAATAGTACTGCTCCTCATAATAATAATTAATGGTGATGATCATGATCATGATGATAACAATAATAAACTTTCTTTTCATTATTATATGAGATACCATAGTATATTGTAGAGCAGCATTAATTCCTGCTTATATTTATTATACAGTACTCCCAGACTGCCAAATTGCATATTTTTTTTACCAAAATTAAATGCTGATTTTTTTTTTTTTGTTCTGAAAGTCCCTTTCCCCAGTTTTAGAAAGAAAAATTTATTTAAAAATGGTAAGGTGTAAAATTTGTAAAATTTTAAATATCTGTAGTCTTAAGGATCAAATGGTGGAAAAAAGCTGCACTTCTATTTGAACTGAAAAAAGATTGCTGTTAAAAAAGTATCAACCAAGATACCAACCTAAGAATCAAACCAAATCTCATTAGTTTTTAGGAGGTCTGATTCAATATATTTTGCATGCTTTGAGGTTGTGAGACTGAAACTCCTTCCTGTTTACCTGTAGGCTCATGGTGAGAAGCAATTCTGGCAGCTGACAAAGACTGACAGTTGATTCATTTTTTGTATGTGAAAGCGAGAGGAGTCGAGGCAAGAAGAACTCGAGTCTTTGTCCTGCAACCACATTTTATGTAAAACTCCCTTATGCTTCTGTATATGAAGCTATTTAATAAATAGCCCTAGCTTGAGGAATCACCCAAATGTTTTGGCCTCCATTACAGAAAAACGACTAAGCACCTGCTTACACTGAGGATCCTGTTATTTTTGTGGTAGACTGCGAAAGGATGAACACCAAGTGAAGATAACACTCCTCAGTATCTCTCAGGAGCATGCCATAGGAGCCATTATTACTGGAAATAATCCCTAGGAAGTCAATGGAAGAACTTAACTTCAAGATAATAAGGATTTAATTGTTTTTAGAAAATCTTGATTGCATAAAAGAATTATACAAGTATGCATATATATATATTGCGAAAGTAACTCTTACTTAGCTGTTAGAACTCCCAGATAAAGAGCCTTGCAAAGGTTTATCTCCGTTGCCTGTATTCAGGAGTACCTTGAATGATTTTCTCTTGTGTAGACATATGTAGTGCAAATGACCACAGCTAGGTGAGAAAACCTCACCCCTGTCTCAGATAACCCAAACATGAGGTCTCTCCACATTCTGAGAAGCTCTAGAGGCTGAGGTATAAGGTCTGCTGTCGTTAGGTGTCTCAGGGGTGTCATCTGGGGGAGGGTGAAGCACCACATGGTGTCTGCCTGCCCAGAGGAGCCTGAACCCTCCCAAACACAGGTGGATGAAGCAGCGATCTCCGCATAGTGGCTGTGTGCAGTTCTGGGGAATGTGGTCCTAGCCACTCATGGTGCAGTAATCCAGAATACTGACCCAGGCAGTTGAGACCCTTCAGTCTGATCAGATTTAGGCTCCCCATTCCCACTTTCTGGGATAATGCCTAAGCACAAGGCTGCGAGTTGCATCGTTTGATGAATATGGACCACTCTGCTGAGTGGAATCCAAGATCTGAGACACCAGGTCTTGTACGTAGTACTAAGCTAAGAAGAAAGCTGTTTCTGAAATCCACCATCCATCAAGATCTGGATAATGCTGAACTCTGGTCCTTGTTACTGAAGTCACTTAATGTTGTTCATACAAAGCCTCTCCCACGGAAAAGTGTGTGGAGCACAGGCTTGCTGACACATCCTACTTTGTCGGCTCAGCTTTGCTGAGAAGAATGGACTAGATCCCTACATCTTCTAGCTTCTGTGGACTTTTGATGACTTTATACCCAAAACATGGATTTAGGTCCTCTCAAACAGAAAACTAAACCCAAACCATCATAGCTGTGTGCTTGAGGTATGAAACTATTGCATGGAAGTGCACGTTGGTGACATTTCTATTCTTTCTTCCTCTACCAACATTCCAAATTCAGTCAGTAACACTTCCCTCCCCCAGAAGGTTTTTAAAATAAAACACACACATGCCTACGTGAAGAGACTTCAAGGCTGTGGAAAGGACACATGTATACCTATGTCCAGGGCTTGTTTTCTAAATTGTAAAAACAGGAGAAGGGTACAAAACACAGATCTGTCTTCATTGTTACAGTCTGCATCGTTAGAAGTGTTTTATTTCTCATCCTGCTGGCTTGATGGATGGAATCCACTTTGAGGTGTCATTTTCCTCTTCACCTGCATGCAGAGAGCCTGGATGTCGCTTTGGGTTCAGTGCGAAGGTGCCTGCTCCCCAAAGGCAACCTGTACTCTTGTGTGAAACTGGCCTTTACTAGTTTCCAGGCTAATGGTTTTAAACAGTGCTTAGGTTCAGAAATGCCTTTCAGTCAAACAGATATGTTCAGCAAAGGGGAACACATTTTTAGGGTAGAAGGGTCTTTATGCACCCAGGACCTAACTACTGATGTTTAACCATTCCTGTCTTTCCCCTAGAGACCGCCTATGCATAACAGAATCACTGTATGCACTGTACATACAATGCCTGTTCAGACTGCAATGGATGCTGCTCCTTTAAATAAGTTTGTTGTTATTTTTCTTGCTCTGTTGGGCACCACAGCACTGAAGTCATGTTGAGAATATTGCTCTAAGCCTCTTCTAAAAATGAGAGTTAGGAGCCCAAGCCATTACTGAGTCATTTCTGTACTTCATCTCGTAAGCTTTACTCAACAGTAAAATGTACTTCATCACAGTTATGCTGAAGACACTGTAAATTCTCTCTTCCATGGAGGTGATCAGAATCACATCCTCTGGCCACCTGCATATGAAACAGAAATCATGTGTAGAGCATGGCATTAGTTACCGAACTGCAGTGGAAGGGTAAGATGGATTTTTTTTTTACTGTACTTGAAAAAGAAGTGAGGAAGGAGTTAATCATTGCAAAATACGTGGTCATTTCCTGAGCCCTGTGGTTGGATGAGTACAAACTTTCAACTATTTCTAATTCTTCTCTGTCATTTAAGAGGCTTTCAAGGTGCACTGTCCATCCCAGACCAGGTAAGGAGTACAGTTTTTCATTTCTTGATTGTTTATTCAAAATTGTTTTTCAGTGGAGTCAGACTCAGCCAAGATTGATTTGATCTCCTTCCTATTACTTGCATCTGAAGGGGGAACAAAGTTCATTGCAATCCAAGAAGTACGTGTGTGTCTTTGTGCCAGATGACTGTAAGCTGTAGAACTAAAGAACTGCATGGGTTAATAATTGAGCAATATTAGCGAAGAAGTATATTATACAATTAGAATTATTACAGCAAATACTGCCATAAAAAAGAAAGAAAACTCTTACTGCCAGACATAAGGAGTTTACTCTGCACAAACCAGTATCAAAATAAGGGGTTCTCAGGTGTACAATTTGCTTTAGTAAGGAGAGTAATAAAAATCTTAGTGTGTCTTCAGTGTTATCGTCAACACTGAAGTCATATTTTGAAACACTATAAAAATACTATTTTTAAAAGGAGGAAGAATGAGCTTCTATATATTTGGGGAGGAGAAAAAATAAAAGGAAAAAAAAACCCCACCTGATAATTTTGGACCAGTTTTATTTGTAAATCTGAACCTGATATCTATCTTTAGCTATTGCAGAGTCACGCATTATAGTCATCCTGAGACCGGTCCTCAGGTTTGCAGCAACCAAACATACACTCAGAAGTGACTGTGGAACCGTATCATAGAACGATGTAATTTCATCGGGATCTTTTGATGCATAAAAACTGAACTTAGAAAGACAGGCACCAGAAGGAAGTCTCGTAACACAATGCACTCTTGCACACTGCATTTGTTGTCTCAATAGACAGAGAGAGAGCTTATTTGTGTGAAGGTTTCTTTAATAGTTCAGAAACAAGCATAAAATAGCCATCCGTAGGGCAAGTACTGTATTAATGTGCAGTCATCAGGTTGCCCTACAGAAAGTGAAATTGTATGTGCCATGAGGATCCCTTTGTGAAATCATATACTGGAGATTCAGGGTTTTAGCATTTGGATTTTTTTTAAGTCTTTGCTTGTAATCAGTTTTGATGTTTGGACATTGGCTCCTTGACTGTGCTCACTGTTTGGTTTAAACACTCTCTGGATTTTATACATAGTGGTGGGGAGAATATAGCTAAGGTTTTCATAAGCATTTGTTTGATTCAGACACATCAGTCTTATCAAGGTTTGGAATTCATTTCTAAGTCACCACCACCTTCCCTGTGAGATTGCTACTATGGTAGCACTTGAACCTTTGTAATGAATTTGACCCTCAAAAGACTCTATGAGCCACAGAAGTTTTGTCATTGTCATCTGCAGATGAGGAACTGGGATGAATCCCAGTTGATGCGAGACTTGTGCCCTGGTTTTCACAGCTCCCCAGGGAAGGCAATCTGATGAAGAATCCCAGGTCTTCCCTTGCAAGGAGCTAAACGTCAGTTTAGATGCAGCTAGAGAGCCTGTCATCATCCTGCTAGGGAAGAAGATATGGCATGTGTTGATGCATTTGCATCAGCCTTAGTCTTCTCAGTTTGAGTGTCAGTACTAAACAATCTGCTGTTCCTTAGAGTTCTGTATGGCCTTAGCTGCTAAATACTTGAAGCCTACGCTACGGCTCCCTGAATGAAAATTGGCCACAGTGTGTCTACTCATCCTGCAGTCACATTTCCCAGTTACTGCACAGGTACAACCCAAGGAAAAGTACTCAGCAGCTTTGTGGGGGAAGAGCAAACTGAACCCAGGCCTCCCCTGTCACCAACCAGCAGCTTACCCACTGCTTCTGAATCACTTGAGGTACATTTATTGAAACTGTGTTTTCACCTTCTGACTTCCAGGGTGGGTTTGGGTTCAACTTTTTGGCTCAACTCTGCCTCTGCAGATGATTTTGCTCTCTCTGACAACTGTAAGTGCAGAAAGGGTCAACTTAGGTGATTTCAAATGTCTTCTCACAGTGTTCTCTTCCAGCGTGAATATCATTGTCTGGTGTGGGAATAGGGTGTACTCCTCAGCTCTCCATCAAAGAGAGGCGTACGCTATATGTAGCGGTATTAACAGGATAGAAAAGAAACCCTGGAAAAGCCAGTCCTTGTTCAGTAAATGTGGTCTCTCCCAGTAACTGCTGTGTTCTGGTCAAGTGGCTAGAAGGGAGAATCTCAGCAGCCCACAACCCAGCCTCAAGAAGCTATCCTGTGTTGGGCTCCCTCTGTCCTGCTCAAAAGTGGAGAGACACCAAGACTGTTTCTCAATGTGCTTAAAAGATATGGTGGTGCTTTGCACACTTATTGCCACCTAACAACTTCATTTGATATTTGCATAGTTTCCAGATAAAAGGTTGTTTTGAAGCAGAAGTACAGGGGGGTCGAACACTGACAACTAATGCTTGCAAAGCCTCCAAATGGACAGAAGGATGTTGTTAATATCAGGCATACTTACTGACAGTGTTCTCATGTTTTTCACAGAGTGCAAAAGGAGATTCTTCTTTGAAAAATGACTCTATAGAAACAGGAATGTTTGACCCTTGACTACTGCCTTAAATGTTCCTGGATGAAATGAGCTCATTTTATAAGTAAATGTCTTTGGAACTGTTGTTTGGGCTTGTTTACTCTTACTGCCAGCTCTTGAATGGGAAGGTCAAGTTGGTGCTCCTCCTGGGCTTACTATTTATATGCCGGAAACCTGTGAGGGTCTCTTAGCCTGAGAATTAGGGCTGTTATTTTAAAATAGGTTTAAAATGGGTAATATAATCCGATTTTTGTCTAATTTTACACCCTAATCAATGAGAAATATCCCACATGGTTCATTTTCTACATCCTTGAATCTGGTAATGTCAGTTTGATCTGGTCTCTTTTCACACATTTTTGATCTGAAGCCTTCTGTCCTTACTGAAATTTTCCATTGGTAGTCTTACATTTCAGTGCTGCTGAATATTTAAATAAAGCCAAATACTCAGACAGAGGAAGAGAGAGAGAAATCTGTATGTGCTTCATGCGACAGCTCAGGTTTTTAAATGCTGTATTTAACTCTCATTGATACCGTAACATTGATATCTCATTGATATTGTACAGACTGATGAGGGCCCAAGAGTCAATCAGGCTGGGGCAAGGCATCTATAAGCTTGTCCATCAAGAGCTACACATTTCTGTAACATTTTCACACTACCGCATGAGGAATTCAGGTTCAGCAGCCGATGAATTGAAAATAATTTTGTGCTCACATTCTCGCTCTCTGAACTGCTCATTAAGTCTTGAAATAACAACAGAAATTACACACTCTTACGGTCATGATGAAGCAGCTAGGGTTACTTACTATCAGATACACTGCACCTGATTCAGATCTGCTAAAGTAAGAAGGGAATATATCAAGTCACCAAAACGTATGTGCCCTTTTCCATTCTCTTCATCTTCAGATGTGGATATTTTGCATCTTCAGTGATCCTGCACAGATATGTTTTACAGCTAGTGAACTGTGTTTTAAAGCCATGAAAGGCAATGTTATCAGTTCTTGTCACTGTTCAGCATTATCTTTAGATGTACTCCTTTTATTTTGGTAACAACTGACTCTTAAAAGGTTTTTTCTTTGGTCCTTTCTGAAGCTCTACTCATAGAGGAAATCTGATCTGTTGCAGCACGGAAACATCAGTGGTGACCACATCGAGACAAATTCCTTAGGGAGCAGCCTGTAAGTCTGATCAACACTTAAGATGAAAAGTTTTGCATTCTCTGTAGCAGGATGTTACATGCAGAGTTTAGCTGTATGAGGGAACTGCTGAGGCAAAAAGGGAATATTCAGGAACACAAGCCTCTGCTTTGAGTAGGTGAGTAAGCATAAAGAAAGGAATAATCTTGAAAAGACTTTTCCTTTCTCCCCCTCACCCTCAACTTCTCAAAAATATGATCAGTATTTGAGATTCTCTAAATCATCTCAATTAAAATTCTGTTCTCTCAGGACCCTGGGTACACTGAGTAGACCCCACTTATTGGCTACAATGGCTCAGCAGGCTGAGAATAAGCCTTCATTACTTTTGTTACTTCCTCTTGTGAGAGCCAAGCAGTGCAGGGATCAAATGGAAATCTTCCTGGAACACAGGGGGATGGTGGGAAGTAGGATAGGAAACCGTGGATAAGCAGGAACAGAAATGGTGAGGGAAAGAAAAAAAAAATGAGAGAAGAGGAAAACTGGTAGTATGAAATCAAGTAAATGAGGACTGAGAGCGGTGTCAGGACAGTGGTTAGCAGGAGAAAGGCAGACTGGTTTTTACATGCTACAGATAACGTAAGTGGGTTTTTAGAGGACAGCAAGGCATGATCCTTTCGGCTTTTTTCCTCAAATACTCTTGTGAAAAACCTGCAATATCCATGTCTCCGTAACCTAAAAATAAAATCTTCAAGACAAAGTAAGTTTGTCTGCACCCTCTAGTGGTCTAGAAAGAAAACATGGTCTTGTCCAACAGTAATTTTGCACTACATCCATTTGCTGAGACCAGTCACACCTTGTTGGGTTTTTTTAGCTTATTTGACATAACTGTAATAACTGTTCTCAGCCTCTTAAACATGATGGGTACATCCAAGCTCCTTTTTGGGACTGGTCTTTGGTCTATGATAACTCTTAAACTACACAAGATGGTTGTGTGGAGCACAGAGTTGTTTGAGGGAGCATTAGTTAGTGTAAAACAAAACTGTGCCAGAAATGTAACAGCTTGAGGGATTGAATTTCATGGCCTGAGCCCAGCTTCTGACAGCATTTGATTTACTAATATTGACATACTCTTTATGTAGTAACATTTCCCTTGTGCATGCGGCACAGTCCTCGGTCTCCTAAGCGTAAATAGTACAGAAAAATACTTCACCACAAAAAAAAATCAATCAACAGCCCATTCAGAGGGAGGCCTTTTCCTGTCTCCTTGATCAGGTCTCATCTACTTGCTGCTGGAGAACACATGCTGACTGAGATTTAGAACTACAGGAAAAGGCAAAGTAGACTTGTTACTGAGTGATGTCCTGAGGAATGAGATTCTGCCACTGATTCTGCCTGAAGGTCTTGTGTGATGCCGAGAAAAGGGCACCTCCATAAGAAAAGAATGCATGAGAAACACAAGAAATGGAGCTGGCATGGAACTTCAGAGTTTCGGTTTCAACTGGGGACAATTCTCATGCAGCCTCTGACTACTGGGGAATTATGCCCTAGTAATTGCTTGTCATAACATAGGATAGCAGTACTTAAGATAGCAGTACTTAAGATACTTAAGGACAAGTATAAGCAGATATCCATTGCAATTATAGAGCAATTGGATTTCGTCAATTGAGACTCAGAGAGCTGTTCCAGTGCTGGTAAGGAGCATGCTTAAAGCACATCAATAAGACTATGTTTCTTCTTTAGAAATACAACTACTTTCTTTCAAAACACAGTCAAGGGTAGGAAATAGGGTAACTCCTCCTCTAGAGTAATTTCCCGGGAGGAAGAGCATGTACATTCAGGACTCTCTTTGGAAAGAATTTAAAGCCTTATCCACCTTCTTCCTTGCTAGCCAGAGAGTAAGCTAGTTACCACAATCTGGGCTGATTTTCACCTGACCAGTTGAAGAGCAAGCAATGGTCATTGGGCAAAAGGAAAGCAGATGCCTGAAATACTGTTCAGTTAGAAGGCAAAAGACCTCATCTTTAGTCTTGTCTTCGAGGACACTATTTCACATTAAGTAGTCACTCAATAACCCCAAAGTCCAATCTAAAGAGCAGATACCAAAGCCATGTCCACTACCTTACAGCTGGTGACTGCCCTTTCACAAGGCTGGAGATTCTCTTGCCCTCCTGCATGGCATTTTCATCTTTCCCTGAGTTATTATATCAACAAGTTTTTTATTGCGCATCTTTGATGCTGAACATGGGCAGTACCTAGCAGTTTTGTGGTTAAAACAATCTCCTGCGCAGATAACAAGTTCCATGGTCAGACTAGGGAGGCAACTTGAGGCATCTATTTCCTGACTTTAATCACTACTAATTAGACAGGGAAGGGAAATGCTTATCTTCTATCAACCATCTTAAAATATTGTAGTAAATTATATTCAGTCCCCAGAAAGAAAAGACAACAGGGAATTTTCATAAAAGGAACCTTCAACAAGAAGAGGTTCCAGGCTCAGGTCTCCCAGTAGTTTTCCTGCAAGAAAGAGGATGCTCTGTGAGACTCACTAAGATTTCTTTTCCCCAAGCCTTCATGTTTCCAAGGCTCATCCATAGTCTCCTCCAGATGACCTATATATGTGGCATGTGAAGAGTGCTGGCTGCACACCATTCCTCATCATTGACTATTTCAGATCCCATTATGAGTCACCTAAGTCCTCATTGATGCCTTAATCTTTCCACCCATGTGACACTCATTTTAGAGAGCCTGAAATTCTATTTCAGATCTGCCTTCAAGGGGTTAAGCTTTCAGAAACAGCCAACAACTCTGAGTTCCTCATTTTCAAATGCTTATTAAAAAACACCTGGGTCTGACTTGCAGAAGTATTGACTATGTACAGACCCAGATATAGTCAATAGAAATGTGGCTTTGAAGCAGTAAAATTTTATGTAATACCACATGCTGCTAGAAATCAGATCCTAGGCAACTCAAGGTCTCAATTCCTCACTTTCCTGTTTGTAACATGGAGTTAAATAATCTTCATATTAGAGGAAGGCTGCAAAGTAGAAATTTGTGGGTTTTTTTGAAGCACTTTGATGCCACAACACTGGATGTCACAAAAATGCCTACAAATAAATTATTTATTTGGCATTGAGGACAAGAGCTTGAACAGTGCATTGTACGTAGGGCATAGCGCACTTCAGTCATTGAACAATGAAGATCTAGAACATCTAGATATTTCTGATGGGGTATTTTGCCTTTGGGAAAATTGCTGGGAGGGTATTGGTTTCAGCACAGATCAAATGGAAATGAGCAGGCTTAAACTTGTCCATTTTCCAGCCAGCTGACTTGTAAGATGCTTGGCAGTTTGTTGATTTTCAGCTTTTCACTAGTAGGATGATTAAACTGCAAAGCAACCTGGGGAACCCGCTGATGAAATTCTGGTTCACAGTCTCTTCTGCTGTGCATTTCTCCACGCTGCTAGAGCAGTGACCCTCCTGAGGTACATGAGCAGTGTATTTTGACAGGGAGGGAAAAGATATTTTTGTAAGGGACATCTTCCCCTCCCCTCAATCCCAGGGCTCTGCAAAGCTGATGATCTGTTACACAGTGCTTAAGTAACCAGCAAACTAATCAGAGCTGTTGTGGTCATTAGAAATGCATAGTTAGTCAAAAAGTTTGCAGCTTATCTGTGACTGCAGATAGCACAAGCTGTTAGTACAAGAACATGATGCGGAGTTAAGCAGAAGCAAGATCAAGCCCTGAAGTTCGATTAATCTGCCTTGTACATTTTATTCATCTCTTTATCAGCCCAATTCATGACCCAAATTTGTACATGCTTGTCAAAGAAAATATGTGGAACCCACTTTTTCACTGAAAGATGTGCCTTCTAATTCACACGTTTCTCCCATGGGGCATAAAAATATCATTAACACCTCTAAGAGGGTGAAGAATAAGGTTTCCTGCTAGGTCTCTGGCTTTTATAATCTCAGCAGTTCTCTGCAATGCAGAGATGTAAATCTGGCATTGGTGGATAAAATAGTCCCAAATTCATCACTGAGATGTTTTCACAATGTTAAATGTTTAAGATTTAAAACAATATATACTTGCAATATACTTTTATTCAGTTTTTTAAATAAAATGTTTTCCATCAACAACACTTAGAGAAACTAACAGGACAAGGCGCAGTTTTACAAGTTATACTAGTCCGATAATTTTGCTTGACTCACATGACTATTCTTGCTCATGTTTGTGGTGTGTCTTACATGAGTACACGATTAATCCCACATGACAGAGGCAGAGATCATAACTGATCTGGATATCAATAACAGAGATGGTTGGTCTATCCTTGACTTGAAAATGCTTACACTGAGTGGGGGGGATTCCCAGCACCTCCCAGTTTTTGCTGCTGCAGTACTGCAAAAACTAACATTGAAGATTCTCATATCAGTGTCTGGTGATCACTTTTTATGCAGGGAACACCAGCATGTGGAGAGGTTATTCCTATGCCAGTCAGCAGGAGGAGAGCAAAGAGAGACAAATTGTACTGCAGAAATACCGGCTCCTTTAGTTGTGACTGCTCTTCTGGCTGCTCTGACTTGTCTCTGGCACTAGTGTAGAAGGAAAAATAGGTGGTCAGAAGCATCTTTGCTTACTTCTAAAGAATGTGGGGGAACCTGGGATTTGACTTCTTCATGTTTGAAATAAAAAAAAAACATTGTGTTGCAGCTTGCCATTACCAACAATTTGACGGTTCGGACCAACATGCTATACCTGCAAATGCTCCTCTACCCCCACTTGCTTCAGCAAGGAAAAAAGTTCTCACCTTCCGTATATCATCAGCTTAAACTTTTCCAGTAAATCTGAAAGAAAGAAATGAATAAGTAAGGGTTTGTTCACAAAGAATTGACCAAAATATTCACTAGAAAAAAAAGCCATGCTTCTGTTTCAAAGATATTTTTGTGTCCAGCTGTGGGCCCAAGAAAGACAAATGCTAAATGTTCTTGCTTCCTGTTGCCTTCAAGGGAAGATGTATTCACTGGGTCTTGGCCCATTCATAAATTGGATAGGTCATGTTCTGAGTCAACCAGGATTTGGTGTAGAATTTGCAGACCGGTTTTTGTAACCCCATGAATTATTTTGCCATTTATTCTGAGCTACAATGTTACTGCTTTGATCCCAGGCTGAAAAAGGGACATG